GGGCAAAGTGATATGGTCTGTTATCAAGAAATTTTTGGAGATCCTCCTGGTTGCTGAATAGGAATTGGAACCTTCCATCTCCTAGATCTGCTCCGTCTGGTCTTACGGAGCAGTTCCAATGGTCTGAGAAGAAGGGAATGAGCGACCACATCCTTTGGTATTTTGGATTTGTAACTCTCCCATTGAGCGTGAGCTCGTGCTTTTTCAGCAGTTCAAAGTTGTCAAAGTCGGGGACTTGTACTCTCCCTCTTCTAGTAGGTGAATGTTGACCTTGGATGCTTTTCCCTTTCTCAGCAGCTGATAGTCTTCTCGTCATCTTGAGAAAACAGATTAGGTATGGTTCTTCGCTGAGCGAGATATATTAAAACTGTAAAAAGTAGTGTTTTTTGTTGGGAAAACATGAAAGTTCTCAGAGTAAGGACTCTAGAGGGTTAGTATTAGTCACCAGAACATATGATAGTGAATGGACGGCGANATGCTTTTCCCTTTCTCAGCAGCTGATAGTCTTCTCGTCATCTTGAGAAAACAGATTAGGTATGGTTCTTCGCTGAGCGAGATATATTAAAACTGTAAAAAGTAGTGTTTTTTGTTGGGAAAACATGAAAGTTCTCAGAGTAAGGACTCTAGAGGGTTAGTATTAGTCACCAGAACATATGATAGTGAATGGACGGCGATAGGAGATCCATTAGAGGAGGAGGAGGGGCTTACCGGAGTGTGGAGGAGGACCCGCCGACCGGAGTCGAGGGCGAGAACCCAGTGTGCATTAGATCAGTTTAGGTGAATATCCAACGAATAAAGATAAAAGAGGTAAGAGTGAATTATTTGGGGATAAAGATGCAAGCACTGGTAACAGACCGGTGGAAAATAGGAGTTTAGCTGGTATGGAAAAGAGTAAGGACTTTTCTCGAGGAGAGTGCCTGGGAGAGAATTGACTTTACGTTAGGAGCGCGATATATAATAAATGTTCTTTTTAAGAAATTTATATGATAATTTTTATATGTAGATTGAAAAAGAAGTCTATTGTGGTGTAGCCTTCATATGGATTCTATGTAAAACTATATATATATATATATATATATATATATATATTAAAAGTGAATTTGTATATTATTAGTTTTCCCAACGAATTTGTGTATTATTCATTATGTTTTTTACGATTTTATTGTTTCAGAGTGTGTTTTAGTGAATACTAATGGTGTTGAATGAATTTCAAAAGTTAAAATGTTATAATTATAGAACAAATTTTTTTTTTAACTATCAAAACCAGATAATATTGTTAAAAAGTCATGAAAAAAATTAAAGAAACTAAACTAATGTTTTGTTTTTCAAATTCAAAGAGGTATAAGAGAAATAAGAGAGTTTTAGAGAGAAGAAAGAGAGTTTAAAAAATTTTGTGTAAATTTTTGTAGCCATATTAAACATGGAGAGTGTACATTTTTTAATATAGGGACACAAATTGTAACTAGGTTAAAATTTATGTCATAGTAGACTTAAGTTTACTAAACTTCAAATTATGGAGTAAACTTCGTTAGAAATTTATTTAGTAAAATTTATTTGAAGTCTATTAATCTTAACTTTTAAGCAAACTTCATTAAAAAGATGAGAGAATTTACAGATATCAAAATATTTACATTTGAAAATGTGAAAATAGCTTTAAACTTTAAAAACTTCAAAAATAGAATTTGCAAGATAAAAGAGTAGTAAAATAAATACATAGAGTTTGAATCTATAACTTTATTTCAGTATAAACATAAAATATGCATTTATAATTTGTAGATCTAAATCTTACATTTTTGGAGAAGAAGATAAAAACTATGACTTATCCTACCTACTAAAACAAGATAATATTATGAGAAATACATGAAGAGGTTACAGAGAAATAAGAGAGATTTAGATGGAAAGAGAAAGTTTTAAGGAGAAGTGAGAGAATTTTAGAAATTTGTGCAGTTATTTTACAGAGAGAGTTTGTAAATGTATATAGAGACAAGAATTGTTGCTAAGTTAAAATTTATAACACGATAGAATTTTTTTAAGGTTTACTACACTTACAGTTTTGGTGAAAACTTCGTTGGAAGTCTATCTAACAGACTTTTTGGAAGTCTATTACACTAGTTTCAAATTTTTATTTTTATCGTGTTAATAATTTTAATATATGATCCAACAATTTTATTTTNTATATAGAGACAAGAATTGTTGCTAAGTTAAAATTTATAACACGATAGAATTTTTTTAAGGTTTACTACACTTACAGTTTTGGTGAAAACTTCGTTGGAAGTCTATCTAACAGACTTTTTGGAAGTCTATTACACTAGTTTCAAATTTTTATTTTTATCGTGTTAATAATTTTAATATATGATCCAACAATTTTATTTTATTATTGTTAGGATAGTTTTGATTTCACAATTTTTTATTCATGCAAAACTAATTTAACTTCAAATTATTTTAATTTTTGTTATATTCAATACTAGTAGACTAAGAAGAAATCTATTCTACCCTAAAATCAAGTAGACTTCATTTGTAGTCTATTAAACTATAAACTATGAACCCCAAACCCTATATTGTAATATATAAATTACTAAACATTTTAAACGTAAATTTATGGTATATAACAAAAAAATAATCTAAAATATAATCCTAAAGATACATACATCTTTGAACCTATTGCTACCAAACCATAAACACTGTCCAATACATGATTATCAAACCAATATGTATTCTTTAAATTGTTCAATTGTATTAAATTTTAATTTATTTATCTCAAATTGATTTTTATACTGATGATTTATAATAAAACTTTTACATAACTTAGTTTTATATATTTAGTTTTATATATTTTTAAAATATTAATATATTATCAAATTACGACGTAGATTTTGGAATAAGTCTACTATATAGATTTCTTAAGAAATCTACGCCATGTAGGCTTATTTATGTTATATATATTCTTCCGAATGATATATCTGTAAAATGACTTCTTGTCTTTTGTCTGGTAACAGTGTTAAAATTCTATTACCATTTTCTGATTTTTTACAGAAGGACTGAGACAACAAAGAAACAATATAACATAAATAAAATTAAACACAAACTCCATAACTGGTTGGGACTGACTCTAAGCTAAAGAATCTAAAGCAAATGAACAAGACAATTTGAACAAACGCTTGCCGCAAAATGAAGTCTGCAGTGAATTCGAGAACTGAGCCCGGTAGAGTTTGGCATCCCGATGATCAGTTCTTTATGATAGGAATCTTCAAGATCAGCTTACGAGGGCATCTTGACTTGCAGCCTTTACGGATCGACGCCTTCACCCGAGACCAAGACGAGCTTTATTTGGAGAAGGAGCCACCAAAGCCGCCACACACCACCGAACCTGCAACAAAATGACAGAGAAAACAAGTCCGTCTTAAGCCAAAACAGTCAGAAGGAAACCCAATATCAACCTCCTGAAACTTGCAGATCCGCACGCGCCGTCACGGAGAAGAGCACATGTGGTTGACAACTTTAACGATTGACCTCCTCGCACGCGTTCCCGCTACGGAGAACCCGCAGCCGACCAACCTAATTTGGAACCGATGACTAACTTTTTGTCTTTATTTGATCATAAGTGGTAAAAAGTAATTTTGTCACGTATTTAGATTAGTTTTGCAATTGATATTTGGTCTGTTTTTATATTTCAAAACAACTTTTAAGATATATTTGGCAAATTCCCGAAAAACTTTTGACAAGAAATTGTAAAAGTCAAAACAGAAACCATGTAATTAATAAACTCTGTCTCTGTAATGTCTAGGAGATACTACTATCAGTGTTATTATATCTCTTGTTATTCAATAGAGACGACCAAAAAACATTCCTTTCCAGATTTGAGAGATTCATATCATTAAATGCACTTCTCAAATACACAAAATTGTAATCTTGTTTTCTGAGTATCTCAAGCGTAACCCATATAAAGACCATGTAAAATGGCCTAGAAATAAGACTTTGATGAGTCTCCACGTCACTTTCTATTTTCGGCTTTTGTCCCCTAAACTTTCGACAACATTCGTCTCGCACCCCGACACTTCCCGGGACCTCTGTCTCCCCCATCTCTCTTTCTAGTTTCTCCCTCTCATCTCCCATTTCTATATTTTAATTTTTAATTCTTTTTCTTATTTATGAATAAAAGTTTTTATTTTAGTTTTCTTTCTTTTCGTTCTTTTTTATTTTGCGAACGTTCTTTTCTCTTATTTCCAACTCGTGGTCTTGTTCATTGGCAAGATTGATCTCAGGAAATTTCATCTTAAAACGTAATACAGCTATTTTATATGTCTTAATTTCATACATATTATTTTATTTTTGTCTTCCTAATCAATACAAATCTCTATTCATCTCTAATTCACCTCTATTTTTACTTTTAAAATAGTATTTAGAAGTAAAATCACTCCAACTCATCTCTATTTTATCTCTATATTTTAATCTATATTTGAAGATCTCTATTTTAGAAAAATATATTGGAGCAAAATCTCTTTTTATTATAGAGTTCCTCTATATTTTAAAAGTAAAAATAGAGAAATACATTGGTGATTGCCTAAGAAGATAAAAATAATGTTAGATGGAATTAAAAACAAAAAACTTTTTATGCAAAAAAAGAGTAAACTAAAATAAATATTAAAAAGAGGAAAAGAGTGAAGGCAACAGCACATAATGAGAGGTTAGTATGGGCTCACAAACTCTTATTTGTTTTCTTTTCTTTTCCCTTTCGAATTATTAATACCTATTGTTTCTTACCAAACTAACCACATAAATATAAATATAATATGTGCTCCAAAAGAAATTATAAATATAATACATTACCGTTATAAGATACTAAAATATAATATATCTACGCTTTAGTATGTGTATGTCCCTTCCTATATATACACATACATACACAGAAACATATGTTCTCCATTCAACCATTTTTGTCTCAAACAAAACCCTCTGAACACACTCAAGATCACATATACATATATCCCCACCAAACAAACATGGAAGAAAAACAACAAGAAGCTTCAATGCCACTAGTTCCCATAGACAGTTTTTCTTACAGTTGGGTAGTTAACTGTCCTTCTTTAGAAGCTTCCATTGATGATTATCATCAAACCTACGACGATTCTTCTTCTTCCTCGTTCATAGAGATGGATCCAAGATTGCCTCCTTCTAGAAGATTCTTCATCAACAAATCCCATGAAAGTAGCTTCAAGTTCGACAACTTCGTCTCTTTCTCCGACGAAAATAACTCTTTAGTACACGCCGACGAGCTTTTCCGTGACGGCTACGTCATGCCTTATCTATCAAAAGCCACGTCAGCGGCAATACAAGAAGAAGAATCTGAGCCGTTGGATACTAAAGCGGAGAAGAAGATGGAGACACGTGACATTAAGAGCAAGTCTCCTTATTCTTGTAGAAAGTTGAGGAGAGTTTCGAAATGGGTATTGTTGTTTTTAACGCCATTGTGTAAAAGATTAAGGAGATGTAGATCCGCTGTATCATCCGGAGGTATCGGTATCGACTCTAACGTCCGTGCAGCGACCTTGTCTAGAAGCAGAGTTTATTCTGATGAAATGACTTCGTCGCCAAGAATAAGTGTTGCAGATGATTATTATTGGAGAAGGTCTTGTGACTCAGAGAGCTCCATTTACGAAGCTGTTCTTCATTGCAAGAAATCTTTTGGTACGTTGTAAATATCATTTTTTGTTTAGTTTTCGAATTTTGTAATTTTTATTGCTTGTTAATTAGTTCTCTTTTTTTAATTTAAACAGAGAAATGAGAGTCAAGAAACAATGGAATAGGAGCAGGTAGGAGTAGAGATGGAGAATATTAAGCTTAAGAAGAATAAGCAAATTGCATTACACGTTAAACATGGAGTGGGAAAGAGAGAGCAGCTTGTGTTGTTTCTCTCTCTTGAATTAAAGAGATTGATGTGATGATTCCATGTGATTATGTGAATGTGTCATCTGATGTGAATCAAGAATGTTTTTTACATGAGTGGGCACATATACAGGGCAGCTAGCAGAATCAAAAAATATTTTCAGATTTTCTTGAATTAAAGAGATTGATGTGATTATAGTTTCTTTTCATATATGTAATCCTATATGTACCTACCCATGTTTTACTTTCTGGTCCAATTGTGTTTTGAATATTCTTACTTTTGTGAAAATTTTGTCTTTTATTGTCTTATAGATCATATGTGGATGTGATCATATATATGCATGATTGAACTCCTTTTCTTATCATAATTGTAATTCAAATCAATTAAATTTAACAAAGAGAAGGAAAAAGAGTTTCATGATCAAGTGAAGATAGTCCATATATGGTTCAAATTAAATTGTTCCATTCTTGCAAGCCGTTTTTTTTGTATATTGTTTACTGTAGAATCAACAGGAGGTATATATATGTATACTCCAAAAATTAGTTTAGCTTCCAGAATTATAAATTTAATACGTTTTGTTATTAAAAAAATCATGAAGACATTTCTGTAATATAGTTTAATCGGAAATTTTCCATACGAGTATTTCAGAATTTGAAAAATAAAATTTTAGAAAATAATGAAAAAGATTCTTAAATAAGAACCCGTGAAATATTTCCTCTGAAAAATCCGTGTTCAAATTATTTATAATAGGTTTATGGATAAATATACTCACTACAATTTTTACCGACGAAATAATACTCACTAAAAATAACAAACGAGTGCAAGAGAATCAAACAAAAAAATAGAAATGGTGGTGATTTTAAAAAAGTGCAGAGTCAGTATTCAATACGTCAAACTGTTGCTTTAGCACAGACTTCTTTTCCTTCAACCCCAGAATATTATATCAATATATGCAAACTTAGGTAAATAAATATGAGAAAAAACTAAATACAATATGAAGGCGTGTAAATAACATTTAGAAATGTATACATATAGTTAAAATTAACACTACTAAAATTTGGCGAGTGATACTGTAACGTCCCGATCGCACATAGCTAATGGGCCATCCATGTCTGTTCTCTCTGTCTGTGGGTCCATCCCGTTCCAACGGTCGATCCATTAATTTTTCAAGGTTCTAAAGTTATGTTACTGACCCTTACGTGCTTTGGCTTCACTTACACGGTATCACAAATCACTTCCCGATAGGTCACTCATCAAGCATGTTTAACTCTAGAATTCTCTCTGGATGTGCTCCCGAAAAGGTAAGTACATTTTGGTGACATAGGTAGTTAAATCAATTCTCTTAAGCCTTTCTACATATCACAACTCAAAATGTTACAATTCACCCCCTCTCAAAGAACGCAACGTTCTCGTTGTGCCCCATGACAGGTCTCAAGACGCTTCTCAGGTCAGAACTGAGATGGCTAACCAGCTCTGATACCACCTGTAACGCTCCGACCGTCCACGACTAATGGGCCACCCACTCACTCGGCCCGTGGGCTCTATCCCATCCAACGGTCGGTCCGTTAATTTTTCAAAAGCTCTAGAGCCATGTTTACTGACCTTGCAATCACCACTTGATTTTTCTCCGTGCATGCTTTGGCCTCACTTACATGGTATCGTAAATCACTTTCCGATAGGTCATCCATCCTTTGACTACTCCAGCTAAAACACACTTAACTCTAGAGTTCTCTCTGGATGTGCTCCCGATAAAGTAAGTGCACTTTCGTGACATAGATAGTCAAATCAATTCTCTTAAACCTTTCTACATATCACAACTTGGGATATTATAAATATTTGAGACTCATGACAAAACATAATTTACAAATGACAAAAGCAAATGTGAATGAAGCTATAACATAAGACAACAACTGCTTCTTGCTTTTGTATTTACGTTTTCATCATTAATTCTTTTTCTCCATAATTATATAAGTAAAAAATTTGATAATTAAACATTTCTATGTACATTTCCACATACTTATATTATCAAGAAAAATAGATTAGACCTAAAGCCGGTGACGGATGTAGGTGAGCCAAGTTGTTGGCACTTGCCCATGAAAATTTCAAATTCTTTTAACATCTATGAATTTTAGCTTTGTTTTCTATGTTTATATTAGATTTGTCTCCTACTAAAAATCATATTTCAACCTTGTTTTCTATTTTGTATTTGATTTGTCCCCAACCAATTAAAATCCTACATCTGCCACTGCCTAAAGCTAACATATACAATTATGTATAGAAACATAAATATAAAACGTTTCCCCTTTAAATAAACAATTTAAAAGATTAGTCCAAAAGTATTTAAATCAAAACCATGACAATTTCCAACGTATCCATCCCTTAAATATTGTCCAGTTTGATCCTGGTGTAAGTTTAGATGGAAATTAATTAAGAGTAATCACAGAGAACAAGTTCACAATTTAGAAACGAACGTTCTAAAATTATAGAGGTTGTTGTCTAATTTTATGAGTTTAATTCATTAACTTAACTAATTTTATTAATTTGTTTCGGCACATTTAGATATTTGTATATATACATATATATTTATACTTGTAGAGAAATTTTGGGTATATTATAAGTAGGTGGATTTCGTGATCTATATTTTATTTTGTTTGTATGATTGTACTTGTCATTTATACGAGCTTTATCATTTTATGTAGGATTAGTTAAAACACCGGACAATTTACAATCTATCACATTCACATGTTATAATATATATGACATCCCCTGTATATTGAAAGAGAATCATTTAAAAAGTTGTAATTTTAAATTTGTAATAATTAAAAATAACTTCAATTTTATGTGGCATAACTCTTTATCTTCTATTTCATTTTAGAAGCATTTTAGAGCATGTAATATAATGTATAGTCTAAAAATTATACTCTCTAATAATATAATATTTCGTAGGCTATAGTTGGTCGCATATATCAAATATTTATTATTTTGCATGATTTCCTTAAATAAAACCTACGGAATTACCTAATATGAATAAAATATATATATATATATATATATATATATATATATATATATATATATATGCGTGACAATTAATGATTTTAAACAACAAAGATTTGATAAAAATCTGTTTTATTTTTTATCATTTTGTTTATTTCTTTATTATTAAAATAAATTATACAATTACATTAATCATATAATAAAAATCTAATTTTTTGTGTATGATGTATTTCGAATTTTTCAAAATGAGTATAAATTACTAAAATTATTAAAAGTCTCACATAAATTTTTAAGATCAAGGTTTTAATTTTTATCTATACTAAAATATAATGATTATAAGACCATATGAAGAAATAATTTTAGTTTATATATATTTCATATCTTTTTAATTAAATTATACATCGTATGAAAATACATACTATTTTGATATTTGCATTGAACATATATTGAAAAGTTAATATTTTTATTTTGAAATATGTCATTATTTTTTTAAAATGATAATAAATTATTAAAACTACTAAATATCTCACACTAAAAAAAACTTTGTTGATTTAAAGTTTTGTTACACAAATATGCAAATAATCATAAAATCGTATGAGTAGAAACCTCATTTAATAAATATCCATATTAAAAGTGTACTATATTACTATGTTTATATCATTTAAATTTTACTATTTTGATTTATTTACCCTAATTGCGAATAAACAAGAGTGATAATTAAATTTATATGCATACCCCAATTTATTACATAATAGTAACTGATTTCTTAGTTATTTAATATATATTTATAATTTTATTATTTTAAAATATGCAAAAAATATAAAATAAATAATAAATATAAAATACTTATGCATAAAGTGCAGATCTTAACTTAAGTATGTATCTCTTTAATTATTTTAAAATCTTAAGTATTTTCTAAATCCCAGGACAAAACAAACAAACGAAATGAGAATAAACTTCAAAAATAAATATTTATATCGAGTAATAACCAAACTAAAAAAAAAAACACAACAAGAAAAAAAATTGAAGATAAATAGGATTGACACGTTAATTCTCATAACCATACTTAATTTTTAAATTGTTAAATTATGATATAAAACTGAGTTAATTTTTAATTTGTTAATTTTTTAAAAAAGTTAATCATTATGGTTATTTAAATCATGACCATAATTAATTTTAAATTTTTTATTTGTATTTGAAAAACCTAAAATATTGTTTTAAAAATAATTTAAAATTTAACTTAATTGTTTAAAAAAATATTATTTAAAAAAAATAATATGTAAAAAATATAATTTTCTAATATTATTAAACAAATAAATAAATTATATTAATTTTTTTTGAAAATTTATATATTTTAAATACAAATATTTTACCAACTACTTCTTAAGAAAGCATTAGGGAACTTGCTAATACTCTATCAATCAAGCTCAATGACACTCCGTTTATTTTTCATCACTCAAACACTGAAAAGTGAAAAGATATATGAAATCATGTCCATTAAATTTTAAGCTTTGATCTACAATTCTAATTACCATTGTTTCTGATCCCACATATAGATAATTATATAAAAATTCCAAAATTCTAAAATTTCAAATACATATAATAAAAAACATATGTAAATTTTAAATTTGTCAATACTAAAATTTTATATTCTAATTACATACATTCAACGCTTGTCTTATCAGATTATTTGAGATTTTGATCCTTATATTTTTGTCAACAAGAAATGATGTACCAGCTAAATTCAAAACTGAAATAAGCTTCACGCCTATACCTTGAATTCATACTTAGTTTATGGAAAAATCAGAAGTATGTCAAGGTGATTATTTAATCCCTATAGTGAGGACCTAGTCGTATTATTAGCTTTGATTTATATGTATTAGGGATTGTTTTTATTGGTAAAAAGGTAGATCTCATATACAAACCAAATAGTTTTCCAAATTAATGTCCACATTGGCCAACAGAAAACTACAAACATTTTCGTATATGGTAAAGTTAGATCTTTGGCATTATTTACCCATATGGCGAATTATTTACACACTCGAACAAGCTATGGACCGGACCACACATTTTCGGTTTTTTTGGTCTATTCTTAATTTCTCTTTGCATCTCATTTTTATGGGTCAAAACAGAATCATCAATTCAAATTTACACAAACTGCTAAAATAAATTCCAAAACCAAAAAATCAAAAAATCAAAAAAAAAAAAATCAAAAAGTGAATATATTACACAAATTGATCAAACTGAATCATCATTTTAAACTACAGATTCATTCTATGACGTGAGTGTTTCAAAAAAAAAAATAGTAGTCTATTAGCTGCTTTTTACTGTTAAACGTCATCCTGGGGTCAAAAATGATCATCCTTTTAAATTTACAGAAAATACTATCAAAAATATAT